TCTAACTGCCTTATAATAATTTCTAACTAACTTAGCTATCTGCAATAAAGTGAGTGGGTTTGCTCCACTGTGTACTTGCACTTTTGCTGTAATGTGCTGCCTCGCCAGACACTCAAAACAATGGGCCAGTCATGAACTGAAACTTCCCAAACTGTGTGGCACATAACCCTTTTCTAAGTTGATTGTCTCAAGTATTTGTTACAGTGACAGAGCTGACTCACATATGCACCCTCACCACCCACCTGATGCTCCTGGTGCAACTGCTGGGTGGGGAACTGAAGGTCAGCTGTGCAGGTGTTGGCACCAGGGAGCCCAAACAAAACAACAGCAGCAGCACCCTGGTGCCTGGGCTTCTCTGTTAAATGCATGTCTTTGGAGGTGGGGCCTAGAATGGACACTGGTTTTGCTCAACTGGATTTTGACCAACACATTTACCCTCTCGCCAGTCTGAGGGTCCTTCCAGCTGTGGCTTCTGGGTGGGAAACCCTGCTTCTCCAAGGAGCTAAGCTACATAAACCTGAGTTTTAATGACCAGGGTACTTCTGACAACCCCAAACCAGAGAGGAGCTTGGCAACAGTCTAGTTCGCTGCTCTCCTTTACCAGGAGGAAACTGAGGCCTCTGGACAGAGCTTGGAGAGGCTTTCCCAAGGCTCCCTGATCACTAAATGTCACAGTCAGTTCCCAGTTCTCCTTCACTGCTCCCAGAAGTGCCCCAAGCTGAGAGCAAAATGCTGGCTCCCCAAAGAAGCCCGCAAGGCCAGAAACGAGTATTTAATAGTAACCACATCAAGGCATTGGCTTCAGCTCCCAGGACTTTCCCCTGTGGCCCAACATCCCCAGTGCTTGCTGCTATTTTCACTGAGCTCAGGTTATTGAGCTATTTTGAGAATAATCTTAACCTTCGCCAGGTGTCCTGAGTTTAATGCTGCTCTGCCACCAACTATAATTGTGCCTCAGTATTTCATGCCTCAGTTTCCAAATAAGGGTGATAACAGCACAGCTACGCCGGAAGGTGTAACTGTTAAATGCTTTTGGTGCATGTGAATAACAGTATTTATGTCAGAGTAAGTGCTTGGCAATGCCAAATCCGGACAGGGTGGCAGGGAAGACAGGACAGGTAAGACAGGAGCGAGTAAGTCTGTCCTGCAGGGAAGAGAGCTGAGGCACTGGCCTTTTCTTTGCAACCCTGAGGGCTCTAGAAATTGGGCTCTGCATTCTGGACTTTTGCACATAGACAGATAAAACCAGTCGGTAGAACTGTATGGGCAATAAAGAGCCTAGGAGTGAGCAGTCAGGTGGGAGAGGGTGCTGTGTGGCACCTTTGAATGTATAAAAATACTGATTTTTATTATATTTTCATTGATAGTTTTCACTCATTTAGATGACCATGAACTAATGAGCTGTATAACTTACGACATTTTAAAAGGTAACATTTTTATAATTTTCAGTTCTATATGAGAACTTGACATCAGCATTACAAAGCATCCTGTCCTAGACACTTTTAGAACCACTGCTATGTGTTGGGCCGGGATTTAGCTCAGTGGCTCTACTGCCTGCCTCGCAAGGACCCAAGTTCAATCCCCGGTAATAAAAAAAAAAGAATCACTGCTGTGTGTGGCACAGTGGCAGGTCTGGATTTCCAGACCATCCATGTTTGTATCCTGTATTGCTCATAAAAGTTACTTAGGTAAAGAAAACACAAACAACAACAAAAAAAGCCATGTCTTTTTCTTTTCTTTTTTTCCAATGGTACTGGGGATTGAACCCAAGGCCTTTGCATTGAGTTACATCCCTACCTCCTTTTTTATTTTTATTTTGAGGTAGGTACTTCCTATGTCACTAGGGTGCCTCGGCTGGGCTTGAACTTGCAGTCCTTCTGCTTCAGCCTCCCAGAATGCTGGGATTACAGGCATGGACCACTATCCCTGGCTGGCTTTTCTTCTAGAAGGAGAAGCAAGCAGACCTTGGCAAGAATGAGAAGTTGGAAAAGCAAGAGGGATGGTCAGCATGATCAGGCCTGACATAACATGTCTCACTATGGTCACTTGACTCTTCTGATCAGCAGGCGAGCGCTTGCTGCTGCTTGCTCAGTTTTGGAGGTAAGCAGAGTTCAGGGCACTGGGGGAGGAAGGAAGCTAGGCTAAGGTTAGGTCAAGACTAGTGTCTTGGTCACTTTCCTTCTTGCTGGGCCAAAATACCTGACACCCACAACGTGAAACAGAAGTTTATTTCGGTTTGTGTTTTCAGTCCATGGTTGGCTGGTCAGCAGACGCCAGAGCAGGAAAGGCATAGCAGAAGGCGTGGGCGGAGCACAGCTGCTCTGCCCATGGCAGCCAGGGAGCAGAGGGTGGAGGGAAGACCTGGGCAGGGGCACAGAGCGTGCCAGGTCATCCCGTGACCCACCTGTCCTGCTGACCTGTCCTGATTCATCGCGGATTCATCCGGGGCTGAGTTTAGTGCCCCAGAGTCCAATCACATTCCAACGCCTCCCCTCAGAACACACGAGCCTTCTGGGGGACATTCTAGATCTAAACCATAGCAACCAGGAAGCAGAGAGTAAGGAATGGGAGATTGTGAGCCCTTGGTCAGTTTTGCAGATTGAGCAAAATTATTCATGTATATTACTCACCAAGGTTTGGGGTTATTTTTATCGTAATTGCTTGATTCCAAATGCTTGAGAGTATGCTTTTTCTTTTTCTTTTGAGTGGAGCAATTTATTCACATCACCATAATGGTAATAATGTCTCATTTAGTGAGCACCTACTATGTGCTAGGTCTGGGGTCCAATCACTGATGAGCCTGTTCTGCAGCTTAAGGAGCTCTCATCCACTGGGAAGGAAGGATCTTTCAGGGATCTGACTGGAGGAGGACAGCCACTCCAACACACACAGGGTGTCATGCAAGAAAGGGGCTGGGCTGCCAATGGTGTAGAGGTTGAAAACCCTGACCTAGATTAAGGAACAATACACACCCATATGCAAGGAGACCAGAGGCCCTTCCCTTCCCTGCATTTGGTGTGGTGGGTTTGGAACGTGTCAGCGTGGCTCTGCTGAACCGCAGGTCTGCAGATCCCCCCCACCCACTCTTGTTGGGGGTACCCAGCGGCTTCTCCAGTTCTCTGAAGGGCAGCGGGAAGCAGAGTGCACCTGACCACACATCACCCCGGTGACATAGGCCCACAACCAGGCCTGCCACGGTCACCTGTGGGGCCAGGCAGTGTGTCTGCAGCTGCAGGACACGGGGTTCAGCTTCTGCAGGGCACCTGCACCAGCAAGGTCCGAGGTGACACAGACCGAGAGTTTCCGGCCGTCGCCATAGGCCCCAGTCCCCTCTTGCAGGTTCAACTTGATCTTGTTTTTCTCTTATCCAAGTGTCCTTGCTGCCTGCCTACCCTGTGATTTCGATCTCCAGCTCAAGACACGGAGACAACAGCCTTACAGAGCCTGCTACACTAGTTCCAACAGTTAACCTATTCCAAGCCAAACCGTTGTAGCAAATGTGTGTGTTTGTGGCTGCCTGTGATTGGTAGACACCTGAGCTCTGACTGATACATTGGGCTAAAGTCAAGATCAGTCTACCAATGCACCTAATACAAGACAAAGTAATTTTGCAGATAAGCAATTATCCCTCCTTGGGTCCAATCTCAGTGGTCCTCTCCCACTAATTGTTCTAAGTCCTGGACCTACTCTTTTGTTTCTTTTTGTTTTCCCTCCCTCCTTCTCTGTCTCCCTCTGTCCCTCCGTCCCTGCCAGCTTCCTTCTTGGTATGTGTGTCCTATCCCACCTTTTGAATGATTAACCCCATAGACTACTCTGTATCCTAGAATGCTTTCTCCTGTATCTCAGGGATTGTGCCAAAACAGTTTTTCCATGGTTCAATGACTAAACTGGATTTTGCTTTGTTTTGTGAGAACAAGCCAGAGTTTTTGCTCATGCTACCACCTCCACCAGGGTTTTGTAGACTGAAGAGCGGTGACATCTTTCTCGGGGTGCCCCATGTGACCACTTGTCATCTGGACATTCTCTGGGCCCTATGCTGCTCTGAGCAGAGCTGCCTCAGTTCCTAGGCAGATACTGGGCTTGAGCCGTGGGAGGAAGAGCCATGTCATCTATATTTACTTTGTTCAACCCTTAATTACAACGTCTTGCCTGTACTGTGTGTGCGTGTGCGCCTGATATGTTTGTATCAAAGATAAATGTATTTCTTACCTTTCTCTTTATCACTACTAATAGCTTAGGTTCATCAGCTTGTTATGTATATGTAACTACAGAATATTTTGAGATAATAATTTAAATTTTATTTTTTTCTTCCTGATGTTTCCCATCCTCTCTTTCCCCATTCAAGCAGCCTCAGCCCTGTGCTGAGTCACAGAGGGGTGAAATGGCATGCAGAGTTAGAAATCAAATGCAGCTGTAGCAAAGACCATTTTCCTGTGTACACTCACAGCTCTGTGTGCCCTATCTTTAATTTGTCACAGGAACGCAAACTTTCTACCTGTTTTGTCTACTCATCTCTGAAGTCTTCCTGTGATTTATTTCGACCCAAGGACGCCATCTCAGTCAGAGAGGAGCCTGGCCCCTGTGTTCACAGAACAGATCTTTGGCTATGATGTGTCAGGCCCCATGTCGGGCACTTGGGAGTAGAGTTGAATCAGAGTTGCATTGGACTCTGTCCTTGCCTTGAACTACACTTGTAGCCCAAAGCGCTGTGAAATTGGCCATGCACTTGCTAAGCAACACATAGTTGGCTACTCCCATGGGAAGTTTTTGGAGAGTCTAGCCAACCTCTGTGTGTGTGTGTGTATGTGTTTCTAGTTCGCCACCAAGATCTTAAAGGCCTTTCTTCCTGTCTGTCTTCCTTCTGCCTATTAAGTTTCAAGTCCTGGATGTAATCTCTTATCTCAGAGTTCTTATCGTAGTATTACAATGAGAATAAAATCATAGCGCGCAGCTCTCTGTGTCTTTAGTACCTAGCCTGCCAGTGGAGAGCACACAGTAGGTGATTGCTAATGCTTTATTGATACCACAAGTAACCTCGTTTTCAGTGCGCAGACTGTCAGCTTGACAGGTGAGGGAGGGAGACTCCCTGGTACACGATGCCCTCCAAGACCCTCCTTATTGTTCATTAGGTCAAGTTCACCACACTGCAAGTCTTTGTTTCATTCTTGGGTAACTTCAGAATTTCCTGAATGATTGTCTTTTAACAGTTCTTTTACAGATGAGGAAACCAAGACTTAGGAAACTATTTTCCCAGGATCCTGAAGCTGGATTTAGGTTTGAATCTAAATCAATCAAATGGGTTGGATTTCATTTTAATTTCTGACACATAAAACCAGTTAATGCCATAATATAATGCAGAGAATTAATATGACTTATTGTCTTAATCCTGAAAAATAGGCTGTAAAAGTATTATTCAAATCAACTTTTTAAAAACATTTTCGTTTGATCAAAGAAAGCATTTGTAAAATGATAACAAGGCATTATTCATTCAATCTTTTGCTCCTTGGCCTCCTTCAAAGACATACAATTTTTATCACATTATCTCTGAATTCAAATTTCAATTTAATATACATGAGGGAAGCCTAGCAAAAGGCTACTCACAAGTAGTAACTCAAATTAGCAAAAAAGGCATCACATAAAAATCATTTATAATACATTAATCATTCTTCTCCTATAAATCTGGAAAAAATTAGTTTCTCATTTTTAATGCATTTTCCTCCTTTGACTTAAGTAAAGCTTCCAAAGGTATAAACATCTTTCTATACAAAGAAGCAGTACGGCAGGATACGTAACTTCATGTATTTGAGACTTTTAAGGAAAAAAAATCATGGAAAATTGACTCTCTGAACTTGTTCTTAAATTCTAAACAGGGGCTAATTTGAGAAATTTATAAATCAAAAATTTAATCTAGGGACCAGGGATTTAGCTCAGTGGTTCTGGCACCTGCCTCGTAAGGGCAAGGTCCCAGGTTTGATCCCTGGTACCAAAAAAAAAAATTAATCTACTTTTTATTTGAAAATAACAAACTTCTAACTTTCAAAAAACTGGCTGTAAGGAGAAGGGACAGTTCTGCTCTCCTAATTTTTGTCAGTGGGGACACAGATGAGAATTAGCATTCTAAGCAGGGAAACTGAATCTAGTACATCTTCCCACATGTTGTAGGTTTAGAGCAGCTCACTGTAGAGGTTTAAACTGGTCCTTCTCTCTAGAGAATAGAAAAAAAAAAGAATGAATGATGACAACATTTCTTTAATTCTTCCTTCTCTCCCCTCTCTCCCCTCCTCATTATCCCTCTTGCTGCTGGTTACTCCTGACCCTTATTGGTTACCTACTGAATGCTTTCTGTACTTTCCTGACTTCATTTCAGAGCTTCAATCTGTCTTTAAGTCTTTAGATTATAGGAATGAGAACTTCATTTTATTTTGCATTATCTATTACTAAACATAATTTTGGTTAGAGACACAGACAGAAGCGTTGTGTTGAAAGCCACAACAATTACAGTATGTAGAGGATCCAGTATCCCAACCCAGAAGCCAGAGACTGCTCCTCTCATTGAAGCTATGCTGCCTTCCTGATTTTCATTTTAATAATCAGCAGCATTTACTGAGCCTTCTAAGTGTTGAAATGAATACAGTTATTCCCCACTCAGCAACTGGAGAAGATGACGTTAATACCCAGTTTACTACTGACTTGTCCAAGACCATATGGCTGGCCATCCAACCAGGCCACCAATTTGTTTTTGCAGGAGCCTTTCAATTTAGGAAAATATTCAGGTGTGAAACATACTTTCCCTTCGATTTTTATGTAGATTTGAAGTTTTCAAAATAAAAAGTTGGGGTGGGTGAAGGGAAAGAGGAGGAGTAGGAGGAAGGGAAGGGGAAGGGAAAGGAGGAGAGGGAGAGGGAGAAGAAAAAGCAGGAGAAAGAGAAGAAGAGCAGGAAGAGGAGGAACAGGAAGAAGAAGAAAAGGAATTCTGGTGGCTAATGTTCACCATCTGCAATTCTCTGGGGCCCCTGTGCAGTCTTTCAACTACAGAATGGTTCAGTCATTAAGATCCCCCAAATATGGGGCTTGAAAAAAGGAAACTCACTCGAGAGTCACCACACTGGCACTTATAAACCACTAAGGTTTTTTTTTCCTTTGGTACCGGGGATTGAACTCAGGACCTTGCACTTGCAAGGCAGGCGGTGGAACCACTGAGCTAAATCCCCAGCCCATTCAATATTCTCAATAAAAATAATTTCGGTGGTTACTAACTAGTAATCTCCCCCAACCTTAGATTATGTTTGGGGATTAAAACATTTTAAATAGGGTTGAAAATTTATAAAATAAAAATTCTACAGGCAGTGAAATTTAGTGATATTATATACATTTCATTGTGGATTTGGGAGAAATATTTTTATATTTTATGAGCAATATATGATCACTAAATTGTTTTTTAATATTACAGTCTAGAGGGAAGATAAGAGTCTTCATATACAGAAACAACCATCGTTTAACATTTTGATTGGATTTCCTTTAGTTTTTCTTTTTTCTATTCATAGTGCTTTGTTCTTTCTTATTTTTGTAATTTTATGTTATATATAATGTTTACTTTCTGCTCTTTTCAAATAACACTAACTCATAAGCATTTTCAAAATAACTACAAGTTGGGGAAAATATTCTTCTAAGATAGGGAGAAAAAAATAATAAAGACACTCAAGGACAGTGGTGGGGAACCCATGACACACGTACCGCAGCTGGCTGTTTGTTATCATTGAAAGCTCTAAAAGGTTTGCCATCACTGCTCTAGAAGGATACATAAGAAATTATGCAGCTAGTAGTGGAAAGACTGGAGGGAATTGGGTGGGTAAAAGGCAAAGGTAAGGAGGGACACTTTCCAATTGAATATCTTTACATATTTTTGTGCATGTATGCATATACACACACAATTAATATTTGAGCTCTAATGCTTAATAAAAGTGTAAAAAATTATTTGAATCACAAAGTACTGCCATAATAAGTAGACCTTTATGTGCATAAATCTCCAGTTAGAGAACAAACAAGTTTTACTTAGTTTTTTCTTATTTGTGCTTTTTAGTAAATTTGTGCATGTGTGTGAATAATTCCTGATATAATTTGGTCATTGGTCGAAATAGTCAAACCATCTTACTGTCTCTGTGTAGTTTTTATATTTTCATGTTGATATTTTATGATGATATTTAAAGATTAAGTCTTGAGTGACTTCCTGTTTTTCTGTTTTAGAAGAACCATTTCTTTTCTGTATCTGAAATCATAGTAAAGTACAGGTTTTGCCTTGGTACACTTTTTTGTTTTTGTTTTTGTTTTTTTTTGGTACCAGGGATCAAACTTGGGACCTTGCGCTTGCAAGGCAGGCGCCAGAACCACTGAGCTAAATCCCCAGCCCCTGCCTTGGTATGTTTTATTCACCTGCGGACACATGGCCACTCAGGCCAGTTCAGAATGTGCTACTCCTAGCAATGTGCCATACGGTAAATGTGCTTTTCCTGTGGGTCTTCATAGAAATACCAATGTAGGCAAAGTCCTCTTTCCCCGGGACTAAGCCACTTGGCTATATGGCAGGCAGCCTTGGTCAGTGCCGGCCCGGGTGTACACACACGGTCATGTAGCGCCCGCTCCCTGAGCTGACCAGTGGGATGACTGTGGTCTCCAGCTGGGCTGAGTTTTCTGTAGGCTGCCACCCTCACCACCCCTCATTTGCGAGCACCCATGAGGCCTGATGTGGCCTCCCTGATGATGAGAAGAAGTGATGAAGACCTAACTTACCCCACAGCAGCCTCTGTGGCATTCTCCACAGAGGGTTCCCAGGAGGCCGTTGATCGCCTGGATGGCACACAGAATCATCTGGATCCCTCCTATGACTAGCAGGATGGAGAAGAGGGTCAGATTCCAGGGAACTACATTGGGGGGCTTTTCGCACTTGCTCCACAAGGCATGGTCACTGAGGTAATCCCTGCAGGTAACGGGGATAAAGGAGACATTTGTAAAAATTATCCAAGTGCCTAGTCTAGAAGGTCACCATAACCACTCTTCTTGTGAAATACTTTCCATCCAAAACAAGTTCCATGAGAAAATACCCTGTAATAAAGTGAAAAAATGAAACCTAACTTTGACTGAGTATACTTTATGTACCAGATTATATTCTAGACACTTTTTATATATTCACTCATTTATCTTTTATGTTTTTTCCTTCTATTCCACAGATAAGGAAACTGAGGCACAAAGAGTTTAAATGACTTGCTCTGAGTCACACAGCTAGGAAGTGGCAGACCAATTTTTGTGAGCTAAGAAGATATATAAATTCACCATCTATCATGGGGCAGAAAAATGAAGAACCCCAGGGTAGAATTGCACAAATATCCTCAGCCTTCACTCTAGCTATTGTCATTTGAGACCATTTCAACTTTTAGCAAATTATTTGGCAATTTTAGTGGCCAGCTGAAGCCAGGTAAGGTAACTAAAGGGAAGGGTCGCTTTTAACACAATTGTGAATTTGGCTCAATTGCATTTTTGTTTATATGTAGCAATCTGCACAAAAGAAGATTAAATTTTCCTTGTAAGAAAAAAAAGTCTACTGCCTTAGTACATATATTTTCTAAAGAGGAAAAACTGTAAGATGTTTATATTTTATTACATATACATAAAACTAGTTCGCTGCAATATAAAGAACATTGTGCCTTGAAGGAGAAATTCGAAGTATGCTCTCTTGGAGACAAAAATGAGAATGAATCTTGTGGGTTATTATGAGTCCTGCTTACATTCATAAAATTACACATTGGTGTCTCCCTGCTTTTAGATCCTTATTATAACCTGTTTCTTAAGAATTCCTGTGTGTACCAGTATACACTTATTAAATACATTCTAAATTAAGATTTTGGAAATTGTTCAAAATGATGAAGATGCCTTGGGGTCTAATAGACTAAGAAGAAACAAAGGAAATGAAGCGATGAGCATCTTGCTCTTTAGAAGTAGCACATTGTTTATGCCACTGCTTCTCCTCTGTATAAGTGCACATGTTCTAGCAGCTTGCTAGTTGTGTGACCTTGGACTTTGCTGTAAGTGGTAACAACATTATCTATCTTACCTTAGGGTTATGGGGAGGGTTACCTGAGCGAATATCAAAGTGGTTAGAACAGTGCTCAGCATGTAAAAGTGCTCAATAAGTGCTAGCACTGTCATTATTTTATCTAAGAAATGACAATCTGGTCTAATTGAAAGAGCATGGTACGTGGTACTTTTTAGTATTTTTAAATTTTACACCACTCATCTTTGTTTTGTATTTTGCATGTACTCCTTCCTATCTTCACAATTTTAAACTTGGTGATCAGAAAAGATTATAAAGATACAATATAATATTTTCCAGACACACTGTATAAAGATCCTAAAATGGTACAATTGGCAGTTCCTCCTCTGGAGAGTTTGTACAGTGGTGGGCGACAGCACCCCGATGGTGGGATTGGAGAACCACTCATGGAGGTGGAGAATTTAGAAACAAAGATTGAATTTGGATTCCTGGTAAACTCTTGTCCCTTCCATTTCTGTGGTTGCCTCACTCCTCACAAACTGCCTCTGTTAGCTGTCCTCAGGATTTCCTTTTCTACTCCTAACTCTCAGGTTCTGGATCCTCAGAGAGCCTGTGTCACATGCGGCATGATTTCTGTGTCCTGCTCTCCTGCACCAGAGTGAGAAGAGGCTTTAATTTTTCATGGATCTGGTAGCTAACCACGTTCTGTGAGGCAAGGAGAGCTGAGGCAGGTTAAACCTGTTCCACTGCTTCTAAGACATGTGATGATCACAGAGGTGCTTCCACCCGGGTGGTGGCAGGAACTGCCCCCCCCCCCCAACACACAAGGGAACAGAAAGCCTTGGGCTTCACAGGACTCCCTCTTCCTGCAGCAAAGGCAGCAGAGAAGGAAGGAAAACAGAGCAGAGAGGAAAGGAAGAGCAGATGGCTTTGCCCACCTGCACTGCCCCACTGAGAGAAGCTCTGAGGTCCCCCTCCTGCCCTAGGGCGGGCTGGCTGCACTCTGTGCGCCTCTCTTGTAGAGGCCAGGACACCCTGGGCTGTCAGTGTATGTTCACTTGTCTGTCCTCCCACAGGGCAGAGCCCATGTCCCTCCACCTTTGTCCCCAACTCCAGCACCAGGAGTGTTCAGTAAATCCAGCAGCTCCTACTTACTGGGTCCTAACTGTGCGGGGCACTGAAGTGGTGGCCTTGCATCATGTTTTTCAACACTACCAAGTTGCACCACCTCACTGGGCAGGGTCCAGCTCACAGCAGCTTTCACAGATCCTCAGTGAGAGGACGGAGGTGCCCATTTTACACATGAAGAAGTTGAGGCTGGGAAGTGAAGTGGCTGGATCTGGTCCAACTCCCAGGCCAGTGCTCTTACCCATCACACAAACTCTACATAAGTTGTTATGTCTCTTTAATATATGTGAGATATGATGTATTTATGATATTTACACTATATATAATAGGACATCATGGTAAAGCGATTATTCTCTTTGAACCTTCTTGCGCCGGGTTGAAAGGATTGAAATTAAGCCACAATATCATTATGAAAGCAAAACACTATAGAAAGTTCTAATACACAATAATGAGTTCCTTTCTAAGTATCCATAACAATGAATTAAAGGCTGGGGATTTAGCTGAGTGCTTCTGTCGCCTGTCTCGAAAGTGCAAGGGCCGGAGTTCGATCCCTGGTATCAAAACAAAACAAAACAAAACAAACAATGAATTAAAAGGCTGAATGTTTATCAAGTATGTGGCAGGAATTGCTGCACCAAACGCTTTACCTACATCATGTTATTTCATTCTCACCTGAACCTGTGAGGTAGAGCTTTCCATGACTTCTGTTTCACAGATGAAGGACCTAAGAGATGAACGCATTGGCCAAGATCTCACCACTTGTATGTGGCAGAGGGATAACTGCAATCTAAGTTGGCCAAGGTCAAAACTGGTTCCCAACATTTGCAAAGTGTTTTCTGCTTCCTGGAAGTGGGGGACACGTGGTGCAATCCAGGGCCACCCTGATGTGGCTTTAGCTCTTGAGCACATGACCACAAGAAGTTTATGGCGTTCCTTGCTGATTAGTAATCTTGCAGTGCAAACACAAATGGCCTTCGGAGACAGCGCAGGCAGAACATTCAGTTACGTTCAGTTTTGGGTTTTGATTTCACACACGCTGCAGTGAAAATGTTCTCCTCACCACCCAGCACTGGCCCTGGGGGGCAGGGAGGGTGGTGCCCAACCTTGGAAGTGTCCTGCTTGGCTGAATGCTCTAGGCTCTTTCTCCAGCTTTCCTGCCCCTGGCCACCCCTGTTCTGTACAAGCTGCTTCCCTTTCAACGGTTTAGTGTCAAGGCAGGGTGGCAATTGTCCAAGAAAGGAAGAGTTTGGGTGAGAGGATGTTCTACTTCAAAGGAGGCCAAGAAGGTGTCCTGGCTTTCTTCTTCCTCCTAGAATGCTTCTTTAATTTGATTTGCATGGGAAGTAAAGTTAACTATATTTCCTCCTTTACTATTGTCACCACTTTCCGAATAGTGAGTATCTGTCCATGTTGTCACATGAATCAACCGCTGCTCACAGCACAGCAGCTACGTCTATTCTTTGGCTCGTGTTTGAAATGGGCTCTGGCACAGAGAGGGTACCGATCTTTAAAAAAAAACAACCCTCCTAATTAATTTAAAAAACTGCCAATTACTAACTGAGGAGTGTTGGACAAACTGAAGAGAGGTAATGTGTGTAAAAACACTTTGCTCTTGATTGTTTCGAGGACAAGGGAGCTAGAGGAGGAGAAGGACAAGGGGGAAAGAGAAAAAGGAGGAGGAAGAGAAAGAGAAGTCAGAGAAGGACAGAAAGAAATCAGAAAGGAAGAGAAGAAAATGATGAGAAAGAGGAAGAAGAAGAAAAGGAAGGACATGAAGAAGCAGCTTCCACTGCTGCCAGTGCTGCTGCCATTGGTGATGAGTAGGGGTGACACCTGTCTCAAGTCTTCTTGTTTGGACTCATGTGAGTGCCTGGTCCTGTCTCTTCACTCAGCAGCTGTGCATGTGTATCAGGTTTGCAGGCGTAAAGCTGATGTTCATGTACTGATCTGACGGATAAGAGAAGTTCACCGGACAGTGAGGGAAAAGGCAAGCAAGAAAGAGGGAGGCAGCGAAAAGCACTTAGTGTGAGTCAGTGTTGTGTGTTGTAGAAAAAGTACCGTGCTCTGGAATCGGGAAGCTTAAATTTCAGCTTCAGTCATTGAGAAAGCACATCCCTCTGGGCAAGCACTCAGGGCCTCAGTCTCCTCACTTCTGAGGAAGAACTGACAGTCTCACAGACCTTCTGTGAGGATTATGTGAAGATACAGAGGGTGCCAGCATTTTGCTAAGTGAGAAATACCACGCTGCAGAAGGTGCAGCTGCTGTTAGGAGAATCCAGATGAGCTTCCGCAGGCAGAGGGGTGCTGGAAGCCAGCGGTAGGAGAGCAGGTAGGAAGGGAATTTGGAGGAGAGGATGCGGGAGGGCTGGTTCAGTGGCAGGAGAGGAAGGTGTGCTGGGGTCAAAGGCAGTGCAAGTTTAGGCCTTGGGCAAGGAGGCCTCCTGTCTGAGGTGGGATTCTGAAGTCAGGGCATGGGGGGAAAAGACCATGAACAATCAAAGTCATGCTTAAATATCCCACAGATGGCTTGGAAAGTGTGAAACATCGTTTTGCAATCTACTTCTATATAGTAATTTCTAATTGCTTAAAGCTGTGGTATGGATGTCTAGGTATTCAAATCTCCTTCAGATAATCATCACAGTCATACAGTGAGCAGAAGAGGGGGGAGTTCCGAAATGTTCTGCTAGTCTCCAAGGCTGTTCTCCTATTCTGTTCTTACTAACAAAGCTTTATTATCTGACACTGTTAAAGGATGCCTTAGTTGCTGCTGTGAGGAGGGGAGATACAATAGGCAAAAGCACTTCTCCCAGAGTGGTGTGATGTGAATGAAAGCTAGGCTCCCTAGGACAAACTTAGAGTTCTTTCAAAAGTGGTTTCCTGGCTGAGGATTTAGCTCAGTGGTTTCACTGCCTGCTGTGCAAGCACAAGGACCCGAGTTCGATCCCTGGGACCAAAAAAAAAAAAAGTGGTTTCCTGTTGTCCCCTCAAATCAGCATTTCTGGGGTGACCACAGGCAGCAGCCTTTCTCTTGACCTTGGGTTTTTGTCTTACCCCACCCTCCTGAGCAGGGCTGGGTGTGGGAGGGGAGGTGCAATGTTCCTGGGGGAACCACTGAGACCACTGTGCTACTGTGGCAGGGCTCTTGGCACCTGCCTGGTTCCCTTTCTCTCTCCTTGTACTGCATACAAATTTATTCTATTTGACTGAAGTTCACCTAGGGTAGTATTATTATTCACATAATAGAAAATATAGGAAGATAGGATGAATGTTGTACTGATACGGTTGGTGGAAATAAGAGTCCTTGAAGAAAGACAATCTGCAGCACCTCAGGCACTTCTGGGCTGGGGAGGGGTGGGGGAGGTGGGAGTGGGGAGGGAAGGGGGAGGGTCTTGGAGCAGCCTTCTGTTGTCTGAGTCCTATGCTCAGGCAAGCCAGCCCTGTGAGGGTAGCTGCCCCCTCAGGACAAGGGAACTTCCCACAGCAAACTAAACCCATGTGGGAGCCACTGTATGTGATAGGAGGATGTCAGAGGCCTTGTTCTCTTTAGCTAGGAGAACAGGGTGAGGATTTCATGTGGGACTCCTGTGAACACTCTGAGATCTTGCATCACATCAGAAACTTCCTGTCTGAAGCTTGCTCTCGACATTCTTTCAGATCTCACTGTAAATTAGCACATAAGGGTTTGAGTTCGTACCGTCTGCCCCCTGTACCCTCATCTGTGAATTCAACCAACTTTGGATAATAATAAAAAATTGTGTCTATACTGAACTTGTACAGATTTTTTCCCTATCATTATTCTCTAAGCAATAGAATATAACAGCTATTTATATTGCATTAGGTATTATAAACAGCCTAGGGGTGATTGAAGGTGTCTGGGAGGATGCGGGCAGGTGATATGCAAACACTATGCCATTTCATTGAAGCCACTTGAACATCTGCAGATTTTGGAATCCATGGGGGTCCTGGAACCAGCCCCCTCCCCCCATGGGCACTGAGGGACAATTGCACATGGGTTCTTTTAGGGGACCCTTTCGATTTGTCCAGAAAGGCTCAATAACCCTATTTCCTGAGCCCCTGGGAAGGCTCAGTCACTGTGTGAGGCAGAAGGATTGAGGTGATGGACCAAAGGAAACTGTCCAGGCTATGTTGAGAACAGAGCTACAGGTCAGCACTGCTGGACAGAGCCCCATAAGGACAGAAATGCCCTCCATCTGCACCATCAGGGCAGTTGCTGCAAGCCACATGTGGCTCGTGAGGACCTGAAAGGCTGCTAGTGTGACTGAGGAGTTCAGTGTGTAACTTTATTTCATTTCCATTAAGTTATATAGCCCCAGAGCCACTGGCTACTGCACTGCACAATGTAGTTGTGGGCAGAAGGATGTGTAATATGAAAAAGGGAAGACTTGAGTCCAACTCAGTCCTACCTCTGTGCCTGACTGTGATGCTGAGCAAGGTAAACTTGTTAAACTTGCCTTAGCAGAGAATAGTTACCCTTTAGGGTTGCTATAGAGATTAAGTTTTATAAATTTGTGAGGAAAAAAATTATTTACAACCTATAAAGTAACATGAAAATATGAAATGTTATTTTAATGAGTCCCATCAGCATTAACTCGCATGAAGAACTGATGGCATTTTCAGTGTCATGTTTTGTAAATTTGTACCTTAACAGATTGTGTAATTGTACAGAAAATTTGGATGTTAGTGAAAGCCTTTCAGCCCAGTTAGTGAGTAACCATTCTCATTTTCTATTATAAGATCTGTAACGGAGGCCAGTACTCTGTGTATTAATATTATTGGTTGGCTTACGATGGATGAAAGTTGCAATGGCACAAGTCTTCTCCTCCCCTCAGGCTAACTGAGGTGACCTCTTGGTTATTTCTCTTGCCAACTTTCAAATGGCAATTAGAGAGTTTGGAGATGCAATGGCAAAGTGCTTGCCTAGCATTGGAAGGCCCTAGGTTCAATCCTCAATACCATAAAAAGAAAAAGAAAAAGAAAGAAAGAGCAATCAGAGATGAATTCTGCATAACTTCTCTCCATTCCACAGCACCACCTCTTCCTCAGAGGATCAACACACTTCATTGTATAATGAAGATGACATGACAGTATGTGCAGCCTCACCTTGGTGATTAACCCGGCCGTGCCCCTTGTGGGGACCCATGGCATTGCAGTGGGGAGCCTTACCCATTCTGGAAGGGGTAGGTCCACGTGGCATTGGCCACGAGACATTTAGGACCCTTGTTGATGGAGATGGCTGAGATGACAAATGAGTATCCAGCACCCACAAATCCAATTGCAGCAAATATCACAGAAGTGAACATCTGAAAGAGAAGAGAGATAGTCATGTTTTGAGGTAGTCTAGAGATTACAACAAACCTACCCAGCCTGCGACTGGCTGTGATGACAGCAGGGAACTGGCAGAAGAGGAGCCAGTCTTTGTGGTAGATGGGACCTACCTGTGAGCTCTTCTAGAATGAATTTTTTAAAAAAATTTTTTCCGTTAAGTTTATTGGTACATTTAAGGTATAAAATACAATTACATTCATCATTGGGATCTTGTACCTTTACATGAGTATCTTGGTTTTGTGTTTGTTTGTTTTTTTGGTACCGGAGATCAAACTTGGGACCTTGGGCTTGTGAGGCAGTCACCAGAACCACTGAGCTAAATCTCCAGCTCCTACATGAGTACTTTGGTTCTTATTTTTTTCCCTTTCCACTGCCCTCCCTTCACCCCCTCTACCCTTCCCTATTTGCAAAGACTTTGTTTTCATTTTTTTCCTTTTCTCATATTTTTTGTTTTCCCTTCTTTCCTTTCCCCTACCCCTCCCACTTTCCCTACTCCTTTAGACCTTTTCTTCCTATTACACAGTATCAATTATACATTTTAAAATTATAATATCAAGATCTAGAAGACATTACACCAGATTTTACAGAATTTAAAAGGATATAGAAAGCATATTACAAAAATCTGTTTTGAAATAAATTTGACAACTT